TTCCAGGCCTGTTTCTTTGTCAAACATATCTTTGTCAAAAGTAATTCAAGTTGTGCTGGTGACATGTGCCTGTAGTCCCACTTGGGAAGTTGAAGTGGAAGGATCCCTTGAGCCCTGGAGTTTGAGCTCCGTCTGGGCAACATAGTAAGAGCTCATCCCTAAAAACAAAAAATGTAATTCAAGTTGTTAGTCTTTACTATAATAGAGAGAGGTTTGTCAGGTTTTGGATTTTTCCCTTCTTACAAGCTAATAAGCTTGTTGTTTCATTGAAAATGTCAGTAAAGACATAAGGCTCCTTAGTCAGAGTCAAAGGATATTATTACTTATAGCACAACAAACAGCATAAACATTGTCATATTTGCTTCAGTTGCCCTTTCTTTTAAGTCCACAAAAGGTATCACAATGAGTGCAGATGGAATCTATGCACGCAGTGGTATTGTGTCATAACTGAGAAACTCTGAGCTTGGAAAATTCACTGTTTTTATAGCAAGCAGTAAGCAAGCTTTCTCTTTGCCTCACAAGGAGACATTATGTCATCCCTCAATGTTGCTTGCTGCAAGTATAACTCTGAAAAGTGATCCAGGTAGAGTGATGATGACCGTATACTAGTGGCACCACATCCAGCAAGACATGTAGAAATATGAGAGACTTGCTATGGACTCTTTCAACAGTATTCACTTCACAGTTCTACACTGTGTTAGTTTGTAGACATTTTTCTTATGCATAATACTACCCAGCAGCCATTCTGATTAATTTGACTGACAGAGGATGAAACTAAATCCATCATATTAGTCTTAAACAACATTTAATTTAGGCTACTATCACCAGAACTGTAGGCAGCAGAAAGAGACCAACCTGCAGTATTAGCCTCAATCGTGCCTCCTAAGATCATAGATTTGGCTGATTCTGATTAAGTTTCAGCTAGGATGTAGTGTATCATCCATTATGACACACACATGGATGTTTAGACCAGTACACCGATCTTTGTTTTAATTGCTAAAAAACAAATTAAAAATTAAACTACCATTGTCAGTATAGAGAGGGTCTATGGCTCCCATTCCCTAGACATAAACACAAACCAATCCAGTTTGGGATTTGTTATTAAACTTGATTTGGATCAGCATTACAGCACTTTAGTTAAGTTGTAAGAATGGTGTCAGTGAATATTTGCAACCTCTGTAGCCATTCATGGTATAAGTCAGGGCTGTTCAGACATCAGGAGGAACATATTCATTTGTACCAATCAGACTGAGACAAGGTTGTGCTGATTCCTGTATTGTACACTTTCGATGAGTTGTAAGAGTTAAGTTGTGGGGATGAGGAATCTGTTGAGAAGCTGCCATTGGTGTAGCAGAACAGTTCAGGAGATAACATATTCACAAGAATTTTTTCTGTTTTCATGGAATATAAATATTCCATGAAAGGATGACAAACCAACACCGGGTGAGCTAGGCAGCAGCTGCTGCTGCTGGACTTCAGCAAACCCTATGGTTATTTTGCTAGGCTGTGGTGCTTGATCTACCATACAAGAGAGTATTAAGCCCTGACCCCTCTCCACCTTGCAGGGACTCATTTTCCCTCGCCAGGTGTCAATGTTGTTGTTCTTTTTCTACAATGACAACAGTAGCTATAAGCTATAACTTTGTCCTTTTTTTTTTTTTGGTAGTCAGTTCTTATCCACACCAAAATCTTTTGTCTAGAAGATTATATAGGAAGAGGAACAAGGGCATTTTCATGACATTTGCATAGACTCATTATATTCACCACTTCGGCCTCCTGGGCCACAGTATGAGAGCTAGTAAAGCAGTACAGTTAAATAAACGATATTTATCTTCATGATCTAAGACCATGTTTGCCAAACAAAATAATTGAGATGGTTAAACCACAATTGATTTGAATACCATTCTGACCAGGTTGCTATCTGGAGAGTGTAACAACCAGGCTGTTAGGAGAAAGAAACATTATGCTTTTCACTTTTAGAAAATTAGGGTAGATGTATATTTTTCTATTTCTCTTGTTAAGTAAAGCTAAAAATTTTGGATGTTGCAGATGCTCTGGGATTGCTTCCCAATAAACTCATTGTAAGTGGATAATATTTTAAGTAAAAAATGTATTTAGTATGCCAAATATACCTAATATACTGAATGTCATAACTTAACCTAGCCTATCTTATTATGCTCAGAACACTTACATGAGCCTATGGTTTGGCAAAATCATCTAAGACAAAGCCTATTTTATAATAAAGTGTTGAATATCTCATACAATGTATTTAACACTGTATAGAAGGTAAAAAATATAATGGTTGTATGGGTAACCAAAGTAAAGTTTCTACTGATTGTGAATTGCTTTGCATCATCAAAAAATCATAAGTCAAATCATCATTAATTCAGAGACCATGTGTATATAAAAATCAAAGGATAAGAATATTCTACAATGTGCAGAGGAAAAGTCAGACTGGCCAAGGAACTTAGGACTTGAGGAATGCTAAAGCAGTGAGCTTCACAGGATTCCTTTTGACTCATATAACACAATTGTATCCAGGAGTAGCTGGAAACCTGAGAAAACTAGTGGATACAGAAAGAAAAGCCTATTTTTTCTAGCCCAAAGTCCATGAAAAGGACAGACTAGCAAAACAGAAAACTGTAAGACCATAACCAATCTATTCCAGCCAAATACCACAGAAAGGTTTACTACTATCAAGCACACACTTAATCAAATAAAAAGCAAATGCAACCTTGTAGGAAGGTTTTGTGGTTCCTTACTTTTGCTCCATCTTCTTATCATTGGCTCGAAGACAATCTTTAAATGCAGCCTGCATTCCCAAGGTGGGTTCCTGGTGCTGGAGGGAGCAGTGTGGACCTTATTTTCAACAACTAGTACTTGACTACTTTAACCTGTCGGGTTACTTTCTGAAGAGCTAATTTAAAGGGAGTGCCTGTATTTCACATAACTAAAACTCTCTCAGGATGCAGAAGTGGCTATGAAAAGGAAACTTTATCCAAAAATATTTGCTAAAGTGATTCAACAGTGGGAAGAAGAAACAATCTATCTGAAAATTTGAAGAAAAACAAATTGAGATTATTCCATCTAAGAAGCAGAATAAAAAGAGTATAAAACATATATACAGCTTAAGAGGGCTGTGGGAAACTGTCAATAGTCCAGGCATAAGTAGAATAAAATTGCCAGATTGGGAAGAAAGAGAGAAAGGAGCAGGAAGAATATTTGTGTATATCGTGGCACAGAACTTCTCAAATTTGATGGAAAACACAAATCTACACATCCAAGAAGTTCAACAAGCACAAAGCAGGACAAAAGCAAAAAGAAATTCACATTAAGACACATTATAATCAAACCGTTTAAAGAAAAAGACAGATAGGGAATCTTAAAAACTGCCAGATTATAAGTGACTAATCATGTGCAAAGGATCCTTAATAAGATTCGCAGTCAATTTTTCATCAGAACCATGGAAGCTGGGAGGCAGTGGGATGACATATTTAAAGTGCTTAAAGAAAACAAAAGACACTCTGTTAACCAGAGATTTTATATCTGGTAAAACTTTTGTACAAAAATAAAGACAAAATCAACACATTCCCAGATAAACAAAACCTGAGAGTATTCATCACTGTAGACCTGCTTTACAAGAAAATTTAAAGGGAGTTTTTTTAGGCAGAAATGAAATGGCACTAGGCAGTAAATTGGAACCATACAAAAAATAATGAACAACAGTCAAGACAACTACATAGATAAGCATAAAATCAATATTTTTTTATTGCAGTTGTTGGTGGGAATGGGGAGGGTCTGCCCAAATCATCTTCGATGGATAGTGATTACATGGATCTTGAGTAGCAAAAGTCCTGCATCGTTGCTGGCCTCCAGCTCCCATTTCTGTAGGGACACAAGCAATTTGTGGAACAGAGGAGAAACAGAAGAGTTTGCGCTTGTTTCTCTATGGATCCAATTAACTTTCTTGCATAGATAGTATTCCATAGATATGTTTTGCTGGTTAGGTTAGGTTAAAAAGGTAGAGAGAGACCAAATGCACAACTTCTGTAGATTAATTCCTAGATACCAGCTTTATATAAGAAAAACAATAATAGAAACTAGACAAATAAATAGGTATATTGGGTTTTATTGACAGTCTAGGTATTGAAGGCAGGTTCATCTCTTTTGCCACAAACCCAAGAAAGTATTGTTTCAACACTAATATGTCATTGGTGCAAAATGGACTGACACGTTCCAAACTTCTCTAGCTTTTGGACTTGTTAAAATTTGCTGCTCAGGCTGTGAGATGAAACCATGTTTGTTGAGGTAGATCACAGGCCACTCTGTTTTGAAATAGTTATTTGAAATTCCAAGAGGTTTCATTAAATTTTTTAGATAACAGAGGGGCTATCTGGCCTGACATGGAGAAGAATTGGGAAATATGAAATGCTAGTTGAATTACAAGAATCTCACCCAAATTTTTATAGTAGAAAACTTCCTGACTGATCAGTGTAAGAAAGTGGCTCTTTGAAATAACTGCTCTTACTCTTTGAAATAACTGCTCTTACTAAAATAGAAGTTACATTTGGTATAAAACACATACACATCCCCTACCCACATTGACTTGGAGCATTAGCTTTTCAATTTTTAAATTTACTTTTGTATCAGATTTTTACTTTAATCAGTTTACATAATAAGGGTCTACATTTTGAATAAATCTTTGATCACTATTATGATTCCACAAGATGGCAGTATCTTCTTAGAGGCCCTGGAGTTAGCTCTCAAGTACTCCTCTGTGTGTATGTGTGTGTGTGTGTGTGTGTGTGTGTGTGTGTGTGTGTGTGTGTGTGAAGTGGGGAGAGAGAAAGACAGAGAGAGAGAGAGAGAGAGAGAGAGAGAGAGATAGGAGGGTAGACAAGGGGAGGGGCTTAGTGTTATATAGGGGGTGGTGAAAATGACCTCTTTATTTAACTGGTAGAACAAATTCTTTCTATGATCCCTTTTGAGCTAGGCTCGTTTATTTTTAGGATTTAAATTTTGATTCCTCAGTGAACTGTACAGAAAATAATGATGAAATCCTTGAGAGTATTACTAGTGATCCTGTGGCTTCAGTTAAACTGTGAGTTTTGGGCATCTCTATGGAAAGTGAGACTTGTACAATATTTAGATATACTTGGAGTTTTTGTCTATCTTAGGCCTTGAATAAAAACATAAATGTCTTACTTCCCACCTACTAAGGAAAGATGGGTGGATAGGAGGCCTAAGAAAAAAATTACTTAAATTCTAGAGAGTAAATATTCACGATCCAACCTGTCTTCTCTGTCTGACCATTGTTTTTTTCACAGGGGTGACGAGTCAACAAAAGGAGGTGGAGCAGAATACTGAATCCCTCAGTGTTCCAGAGGGTGCCACTGCCCCTCTCAACTGCACTTTTAGCGACCGTGGTTCTCGGAACTTCATGTGGTACAGGCAGTATTCTGGGAAAGGTCCTGAGTTGCTGATAGCCATATACTCCAACGGTGACAAAGAAGATGGAAGGTTTACAGTGCAGCTCAATAAAGGCAGCCAGTATGTTTCCCTGCTCATCAGAGACTCCCAGATCAGCGACTCAGCCACCTATCTCTGTGCCGTGAGTGCACAGTGCTCCCTAGACACCTGCAGTCTGTACCCAAATCTCCTGGGGCCCAGGAGTGCCTTGTGAAGAGCTTAGCCTGCAGAGGAGTGAAGTTCTATTTGCTCTCTAGATGCAAATGTAAACTAGAGTGGCTGTATGGAGGGTTTGATTGATTTGGGGCATAGTTTCATAATTCTGAAAATAATTGAGATTTTGAAGAAGAATGTAAGATACAACTTGATCTGGATGAAATATTTTCCAGTCTTCTCTTGCCCTCTCATTTAAAATATTTTTATTACTGAGGTATGATTGACATATCAAAAAGTTCATGTATTTATGTTGATGAGTTTGAAGATAAGTGTACACCCATGAAACCATCACCACTATTTATGCCATAAGGACATTAATCATCTCTAAAAGTGTCCTTCCTTCCTTTTTCCTTTTTTAAGCTGAGGTATGATTGATATACAAAAAGGTACATATATTTACCATATACATCTTGATGCTTACTTTGGTTTTATTCCACAACTTATCTTAATGGAATTGGCTTTCTGATTTATTTATATAGGACATGGAAACATTTTATTATGGTTAAAATATTCCCTCAGAGTCTCTAGTATACCTTGGTCTTTTCTTATTTAGTTACTAAAGATGTTTGACAGTCATATCAAAAGTTATTTGCTCCAGAAATGCAAGAGCAAAACAGAACTGCAAAGGGGGAAAAAGTTATAAAAACTATTTGGAAAGTTGTAAGTCATAGTTTCAGTTATACATATCCCACTTCCTCTCCTCCCACAGCTGCAGCCCCATTTGAATTACATAAGGATACACTGAATGGAAGGAATAGATTCAGAGAATGAAAATTGGTTAAAAAAGTCAATTTTATAAGTTTGGTAGAATTCAGCAGTAAAGCCATCTGGTACAAGATATTTTTGTTGTTGTTGTTGGGAGACTTTTTATTACTGATTCAATCTTATTACTTGTTGTTGGTCTGTTCAGGTTTTGTTTTCTTCTTGGTTCAATTTTTGTAGATTGTATGTGTCCAGAAATTAATATTCTGTGATATTAGTTATCATATGTTCTTTCTTGTTCTGATTTTACTTCAATTTTATTTTTTCCCAAAACCAACTTTTGTAATTTTTTAATATTTCAGTTTCATTTATTTCTGCACTGATTCTTCATTATTTCTTTCTTTCTTCTAATTTTGGGTTTGGTTTATTCTTGTTTTTCTAATTCCTTGAGCTACATCATCAGACCTGTTTTTTGGAAATCTATATTATTATTATTATTATTATTTATTATTATTTTTTGAATTGGAGTCTCACTCTGTCACCCAGACTGGAGTGCAGTGGCCTCTCCCGGCCACTGCAGCCTCGACCTGCTGGGCTCCGGCGATCCTTCTGCTTCAGCCTTCCAAGTAGCTGGAACTACAGGCGTCCGCTACCACGCCTGGCTGATTTTTGATTTATTGTAGAGATGAGGTCTTGCCAAGTTGCCCAGGTGGGTCTCGAACCCGCAGTGTTATTTTTTGTTGGAGGTGTTTATTCCTATAAACATCTCTCTTACCGCTGGTTTTGTCACATTAAATAGGTTTTGGTATATTGTGCTTCCATTTTCATCTGTTTCAATAATTTTTTTGATTTTCATCTTAATTTCTTCATTGACCCAGTGGTCGTTCAGGAGCATTTGGAGGTCATTATATTAAGTGAAATAAGGAGTATACAGAAAGACATATATCACTTGTTCTCATGCATATCTGAGAGCTAAAAAGGTTAATCTCATGGAGGTTACTGGGAAATGTTTGGGGAAGGGTTTGATAAAGAGAGATTGGTTAATGGGTACAAACATACCATTAGTTAGAAAGAGTAAGTTCTAGTGTTCAGTAGCACAGCAGGTGACTATAGTTAACAGTAGTTTATTGTATATTTCAAAGGAACTAGAAAAGATTTGAAATGTTCTCAATCAGAGAAATAATAAATATTTCAGGTGATAAATATCCCAAATGCCCTGTTTCATCGTTACACATTGTATGCATGCATGCATCACAATATCACACATACAACTGCTATTTACATAGTTTAATAGCCTATATAGTTGCAGATATTAAAGATTAGAGGAGGTCTATGTTGCCATTTTGAATTAAAAGCTGAACAAAACGCAACATTCCTGGCTTGACCCTTGCATGGCAGTATATTGATTCCTACGTACTTGAGTGTGGCATGGGGATAGTAGGGAGCATTGCTGTAGCCATAGAATGCCCCATACCCTCAGCAAAATGTGGGAGCACAGAACTATTTCAGATTTCTTGAGAAGAATCTCTGAGTAAGTATCTAAAAGAGTTCCAGACACTAAGGGGCTTTGTTATGGTAAGTAAAGATGTGTATGGATCAATAGCCAAAGGTCATATGGTATTGAGAATGTTTTGGCAAATGTTGGTCAGGCAAGATGGAAACACTGAGGATCATATGAATGTCTGCCTCTCCTGGCTCTGTGACTCTATGGGTTTGACCTGTAACTTAAACCAAATTCAGGAAAAACATTGATGGCCTGATAGAAGTAAGACCTTTTAGTAGATATTAGGTGGATTACAGAAAAAATGAAAAGTCATATTTATTGTGAAATTGAAGATGTGATCAGTTAGTCATGGCAATGGTTATGAAGTCCAGGAGGTGGGGAAAACTTGGAAATAGAGAATTAATATTTCTGTTTGGCTTGTTCACATAGTCATTGGTGAAAAAGATGCAGTTGAATGAGAATTTGCTTCAAATTCTTAAAAAAATTTTTTTTTTTATTTTAAAGATGTGGGGTACAATTCAGGGTTAGGTATACAAATTGCTTCAAATTCTTAATCTGCAGAACTGAAGACTCTAAAGAAACTTTTCCAAGTCATAAAAGAAAGATTTGAAGGGCGGTGAGAAAGAGCAGAAAGTTGTGCTGCCATCAATATTTTAGTTCCACTTTTATTGTATGTCTTCTAGCATCATGGCACTCTGAAAAAACTCAAATTGTCGATCCAGATTGAATATCTATTATGTTATTAATGGGCCATTTGATGTTACTCTATACTATTATATCAATATATCTATAGTTCTCATCATTACCCATTGTATGCAGATATCAAAATATCACATATATAATTGTTATTTACAAAATTTAAAAACCTATATAGTTACAGATGTTAAAGATTAGATCAGATATTGTATTGATATATATATATACATCAGGATTGGTTTGAAGATCAAATAAGATAACATGTTATGCTAGAATAGCTTTTTCTTTTTCTTTCAACTTTAAACTTTTTTTAAATTTTAAAGCTGTGGGGTACAATTCAGGATTATGTATATAATATTCATTGTGCAGGTACCCTTGTTGATGAGGTGTGCCCCCTCTTCCCCAGGCAGATTCCCACTACTGCCAATCTCACCTCCCCACCTTCCCACCCCCCTCCCCCGGCAGTTTCCCGCTACTGTCAATCCTTTTCTTATAGTATTACGATAGTTGTTCAAGGTCCACTTATGAGTGAGAACATGTGACACTCAGTTCTTTGTTTCTGTGAAAGACCACTCAGTATTATAGACTCTAAGCCATCCAGGTTGCTGCAAAGTTCATGATTTTAAGTTTTTATTTTTTTTAAGAGCAAAGCCTGAATTGGAAATCATTTGTCCTTAATTTTTTGAAAGAAGTGGGTTGAGACAGGGGAAAAGGCTAGGCACGGATGGGGTTCAACTTGATTCAGCCTGATATCATGGCCAACTCTGGAGTATAAATTGCATCACAGAGTTGATTTCTCCTATCTTGAGGCAAGGGACCAGACTGCTGACCTTTTGTACCTAAGAATTAAATAGTCATTAGCTGTGGTTTATTAGGGCTGAGAAATACCCTACTGCACAATTATGACTCTTATTGGCAGAGGCCGATTTTCTGAGGAAAGGGACAATTGTGGACCAGGTGTAGCCAACACTGAGCAACTAGGGATGGCTTTACCAGCCTGGGAAAAGGCATTAGGCTGGACACTAACAATGTTGACCATTAATATAGAACTATTCTGGCCCATGGGCTGTATTCAAGACATGATTGACTTTATAATTATTCTACATTTCAGTTTATTTCTATATTTATTTGGAGTTTATACAGCTGACCTTACTAATTTTGAATAGTTGAAATAATGTAGGTTAAAGCAGTTGTTAACAGAAAACATCTGACTAAATACAAGGAATAAATAAAAGGAAACATAATACATGACTAAGACTCAGGATTATTTAAGAATAGTGACGAAGGAATTATATATTATTTTAGTTCCTGATTCCTTTTGGGAATGATTACATGGCATTCTGTCCATCCTTTTGTATTTTGGTAGAAATGACTCTGATGATTCACAGCAAATGACTCTGGGCTTCCGTATATAGAAAGACCAACAGAAAGATACCATCTATATCAGCGGTCCCCAACATTATTGGCATCAGGAACCAGTTTTGTGAAAGACAATTTTTCCACAAATGGGGAGTGGGGATGGTTTCGGGAAGATTCAAGTGTATTACATTTATTGTGCAGATAGTGGAGGCATTAGATTCTTATAAGGAGAAAGCAACCTGGGTCTCTCGTATGCACAGTTCACAATAGGGTTTATGCTCCCATGAACCAAATGCAAATGCTGATCTGACAGAAGGCAGAGCTCCCCTCACTGGCTGCTCACTTCCTGCTGTGGTGCCTGGTTCCTAACAAACCAGGGACCAGTACCGGTCCGTGGCCTGGGGATTGAGAGCAACTGATCTATATGACAGAGAACCCCCCCAAAATTATTTTTAGCGCGTGAACCCTTTAATATACAGGCTTCCCCTGCTAGGTAAGTGTTCTAGGAACCCATGGGCATCAGTGTACCAGCTAGTGTTGTTGTGAGAGGCTGTGTTCGGCTTCAGTGAATTTTTTTTTAATATATCAATATTTTTTATTTTGATATTGTGGGGTACAGTTAAGGGTTAGATATACAAATATGCTTCATTCAGGTACCCT